TAGTGAGCTGAGATCAAACCACAGTACTCTAGCCTGGGTAACAGGGTGAGACTCCGTCTCAAAAAAAAAATTTTTTTTTAAATAGGCTGGGCCCAGTGGCATGTGTCTCTAGTCCCAGATACTATGATGACTGAGGCAGGTGCACTGCTGGAGCCCAGGAGGTAGAGGCTGCAGTGAGCTATGATTGTGCCACTGCACTCCAGCCTGGGCAACAGAGTGAGACCTGACCCCACCACACACACCACCAGCCCTGCCCTGTAAAAAAAAAAAAAAAAAAAAAACTGGAAAAGGGCTCAGCAGTTATATATCCCTCCTTGAACTACATGCTCTTCATGTTAGGTGGGAGAGGGAGCTTGGTGTTCACACATTTCCAGGGTTCATTTACCCTCCTCTGATCTCAGAGTAGGAGTCAAACCAAAAACTTACCCAAACCTGTTCTTTTCTGATCCTGTCAGGATACATGCTTGCTGACTCTCAAATTCTTCCCCTAAATCACTCATTTACAAACGAGATTGAAGCTAATGAAAAACACAAGCGATTAGAAGGAATGGCCTGACATTTCTATTATTGTCCTAGAGATAACAGATCAGTGACCAGAAGTAATCTAGGCTGGAAGATCTCTGATATGGCCACCATAAATTCTCTGACACCTGAAAAAAAAAAAGTCTGAAAACCTTGAAATACTATAGTGACAAGCTATCTACATCTATCTCCATTTTTTTTAATATGTAAGAGGGCATACTCAGAGGTATAGCTAAATATGACTGAGGATACAAAACATTGAAAATTAAGAGCTACCTACCTGAATTCTGATTTTTTTTTTGTACTCCTATCCAATCTTCTAATATCTCAAAATGCATAAAAATCTCAGTTAATGATATGCCATTTTTGTGCCATCATTCAATACAAATAATAAAAGAGTAACTATTTCAGATTTGATTTTTCTGACTTGAGCTCCTCCCTTTCCTAAATATTTACAATGTTTGAGAACTGAACAGTCACTCTTCGACATTCCTAAGCGAAATGTTAACACTCACAGTCAGTATGACACTATAGAATGTGAAGTCCAAATTTCATTTTAAATTTCATTTTAAAACTCATTTCCCCAAACAATTCTGTGAAAGCCAATGCCAGACTATCCAAGTTTCTGGAGTCTTAACACTATGTGTACCTTTCATAGGCAGCAGTCCTCTCCAGAAATGGCGTACCCAACTGTTATTTCAGTCTTAAGAGTCACATCCTCAGCCGGGCGCAGTGGCTCATGCCTGCAATCGCAGCACTTTGGGAGACTGAGGCAGGTGGATCACCTGAGGTCAGGAGTTCAAGACCAACCTGGTCAACATGGTGAAACCCCGTCTCTACTAAAACTATAAAAATTAGCCAGGCATGATGGTGGGTGCCTGTAATCCCAGCTATTCAGGAGGCTGAGGTGGGAGAATCACTTGAACCTGGGAGGCAGAAGTTGCAGTGAGCCAAGGTCGCGCCATTGCACTCCAGCCTGGGCAACAGAGCGGAAACTCCGTCAAAAAAAAAAAAAAAAAAAAAAAAAAAAAAAAAAAAAAAAAAAAAAAAAAAAAAAAAAAAAAAAAAAAAAAAAAAAAAAAAAGTCACATCCTCATTTTGTTGTCTCTCTCCCGCACCTTCTTAAAGTGTGATGAAACTGTAACAAGAGTAACTGTGTTCTGGATCCACAGCAGGCAAGTTACTAGGAAATGCCAGAGATAAAGACCAATCACAGAAATGCTTTAAGAGACCCAGAGTACAAAAGGGGTTCTGAGTAAGCCTCTAAACATAGCATATTAACAAGCTTAAGTATACACTGCTGGGGCCAGCAAATTAAAGCTAGCTGCAGCTCCTTATGTGCAGACCTCAACCTCACATTCTGCTTCAGAAACCTCTCTCAGACAAGTGGCAGATGAAAGGTTCCCTCCTCAAAAAGAACAACATATATGCTACCAATTCATTTGCATTAATAAATCTTTGGTTTAAAAATCCATTTAAGGCCCAGTACAGTGCAGTGGCTTACACCTGTAATCCCAGCACGTTGGGATGCCGAGGCAGGTAGATCACCTGAGCTGAGAAGTTCAAGACCAGCCTGGTCAACAAGGTGAAACACTGTTTCTACTAAAAATACAAAAATTAGCCAGGCATGATGGCAGGTGCCTGTAATCCCAGCTACTCAGGAGGCTGAGGTGGGAGAATGGCTCAAATCTGGGAGGCAGAAGTTGCGGTGAGCCAAGATCGCGCCATTGCACTCCAGCCTGGACAAAAGAGCGAGATTGTGTCTTAAAAAAAAAAAGTCACATCCTCATTTTGTTGTCTCTCTCCCACACCTTTATTTTTTTTTTTTGAGAAGGTGTTTCGCTCTTGTTACCCACGCTAGAGTGCAGTGGCACGATCTCGGCTCACCGCAACCTCTGCCTCCTGGGTTCAAGCAATTCTCCTGCCTCAGCCTCCCGAGTAGCTGGGACTACAGGTGCACGCCACCATGCCCAGCTAATTTTTGTATATTTAATAGAGACGGGGTTTCACCATGTTGACCAGGATGGTCTCCATCTCTTGACCTTGTGATCCACCCGCCTCGGCCTCCCAAAGTGCTGGGATTATAGGCATGAGCCACTGCGCCTGGTCCACACCTTCTTAAAGTGTGATGAGCTCAGCAGTTCAAGATGGCCTGGGCAACCTGGTAAAACCTTGTCTCTACAAAAAAATGCAAAAATTAGCCAGGCATTAGTGGCTTTCGCCTGTAGTCCCAGCTACTCGGGAAGCTGAGGTGAGAGGATCGCTTGAGCCTGGGAAGTGGAGGTTGCTGTGAGCTGAGATCACGCCACTGCACTCCAGCCTGGATGACAGTGAGACCCTGTCTAAAAAATAAATAAACAACAATTTAAAAATAAAAAAATACTCCAGGCACAGTGGCTCACACCTGTAATCCCAGCACTTTGGGAGGCTGAGGTGGGCAAATCATCTGAGGTCGGGAGTTCGAGACCAGCCTGACCAACATGGAGAAACCCCGTCTCTACTAAAAATACAAAATTAGCTGGGCGTGGTGGCACATGCCTGTAATCCCAGCTACTCAGGAGGCTGAGGTGGGAGAATCGCTTGAACCTGGGAGGCAGAAGTTGCAGTGAGCCGAGATCCCACCATTGCACTCCGGCCTGGGCAACATGAGCGAAACTCTGTCTCAAAAAAATAAAATAAAATCCATGTATACCCTGATAAAGTGGTTTTTCTTTCATCAGGCAGTCATACTTTGATACAAATTGGTTTAATGAGGACCAGCCTTCTTGCTAGGGGTACCAAAATCACTGTGGGAAACGTTTTGACTGGATAAACACTCTTCAGTGAGGTGCTATAGTGAAGGATTTCTGACAGAGAGCAATGGGAATCAGTACCTAAGGGTCAAGGAAGAAGCACTTGGCTGGACATGGTTGCTACTGCCTATAATCCCAGGACTTTGGGAGGCCAAGGCAGGAGGATCACCAGACCCTAGGAGTTCGAGACCAGCCTGGGCAATATAGTGAGACCCTGTCTCTACAAAAAATTTTAAAAATTAGCCATGCATGGAGGTGTGCACCTGTGGTCCCAACTACTGCGGAGGCTGAGGTGGGAGGATTGTTTGAGCCCAGGAAGTGGAGGTTG